TGCTCAAGATGCAGCTGATTAACGCCTCAGACGCAGATCTGTGCAAGGCGTTTCCAGACACCTTCGGGGGGCAGTGCCGAAGCAGGTACGCGTCCCTACCAGCCGGGATAAACGAGAACTTCGAGCAGTTCGCCACCCTTTTCTCTTTGAAGTTCGCGTCTCAACGCAGGAGGCAGCTCACGGTCTCCGCCCTCATCAACTGCAAACAAGGAGACGAGGAAACTTTGGCCGACTTCTACGATCGATGGAATACAATAGCTTGCGAGGTCCAGGACGTCTCAACCAGCGTGGCCGCTGGGAACCTGAGAATGTCGACGCATAGCCGGGAACTAAAGAGGTCTCTCATCAAAAAAGAGCACAACATCAAGTCATGGCAAGATCTAGACCGCGTGGTATTAAAGGCCATCATCTTGGAAGAAGCGCTTAACGCCGAAGAAGGCGCAAAGGGGGCACCAGGATCGTCGAACAAAGCGGAAAAAGGAAGGAACGGGTCGCCAAAGCGAAGAGGGCGGACGCCCGAGCGACGAAACTACAACCCCAGGTTCAACAACAGGGACGGAAGGCGTGAGGTTTTTGCGTCAGAAAAAGAGGACGACGGACGCCGCGATGGGGGAAAAACCCGAGAAGCACGTCCACGCCAAAGGAGGGACGACGACCAAAAATGGTGCGACTGGCATCAGCTACCGACTCACGACACCACAGAGTGTCGGGAGTTCAAAGCCAGCCTCAAGTACCTAGCACCGAGAGTCCTGAAAAGCCGCCTGGACACACGGGCGCACCCCAGGGAGAGAACAGAGGAAAGGGGCAGGTCGCCCAGTCCAAGGAGAAGATCCCGCACGCCCAGACGTTGGAGATCCCGGTCGCCAAGGAGGGAGCGAACTCCACGCAGGGAGCGCTTGCCCCCGCCACCGAGGCACGCCCCTCCTCATCGACATCCGCCTCGAGAAGAGGAAGAGGGTGTCGAAATAATCACCATCGGCGGAGGACACAAGCGTCCTCGGACAGAGGGGGACCGCTTGGTGCAGTGCATGAACGTGCACAGGAAAGAGCAAGTCAAGATCAGTTTCGCACCCTCGGAACTGGCGCCCGAAGAATGTGGAGAAGACCGCTGGTCATTTCTTTCCGCACGAAGAAGTTCAAGGTCACCCGGGCCTTAGTTAACAACGGAAGCTCAGCAGACATCCTGTTTTACTCCACGCTCAAGAGCATGAAGAAGGGACTACAAGACCTCAAGCCATCCACGACCAGCCTGGTAGGATTCTCCGGCTCCAAAGTCAGGGTTCTTGGTTCCATCACTCTCCAGGTGACAATCGGGGGCCCAGAGGTGACGAAGACGCGCCTCATGGACTTCCATGTAGCGGACTGCCCTTCCGCTTACAATGCCATATTGGGTCGCGGCTTCCTGTCAGCCTTCTCGGCGGTCCCTTCCACCTGCCATCAGATGCTTAAGTTCCCAGCTAAAGACAGGATAGGACGCGTCCTTGGCGACACCCAGCAAGCAAAAGAGTGCTACCAGGCTACCATCAGGAACTTGGAAGTCGACCAAGTGGACACCAGGGGAAGTCATCCGCGCCCCGAGGAAGCCGAGGAGGACGTCGCGGTCGTGTTGGATAACGACGAGCTAGAGAAGAAAGTTAGAATCGCAGCTCACTTGGCGGAGGAGCAGACGCGTGAACTCTTGTCCCTCCTGAGGGAATTCAAAGATCTATTTGCTTGGACGTCGGAGGACATGCCAGGCGTCCCGCGGGAGCTGGCAGAGCACTCCTTGTCAGTAAAAAGCAAAGCACGGCTAGTACAGCAAAGGAGGAGGAACACCTCCCTCGAAAAGCAAATGGCATTGGAAGAGGAGGTGAAGCGCTTGCTGAAGGAAGGGTTCATCAGGGAAGTGAAGTACCCAACTTGGCTGGCCAACCCTGTCTTCGTGCGAAAGGTGTCCGGTCTTTGGCGAATGTGCATAGATTTCACAAGCCTCAACGCAGCCTGCCCCAAAGACGCATATCCCCTCCCCAGAATCGATCAGCTGATCGATGCAACCGCAAATCATGAAACCCTGAGTTTCCTAGACATGTTCTCAGGCTACCACCAAATACGTCTGTCAGAAGAGGACCAAGAGAACCGCGTTCATGACGCATATGGGAAATTTCTGCTACTCAGTCATGCCTTTTGGTCTGAAGAACGCGGGTGCGACGTACCAGAGGATGATTAATACAGTGTTCCAGAAACAGTTGGGCAGAAACGTGGAAGCCTATGTCGACGACGTCCTCGTCAAAAGCAAGAGAGGAGCCGATCACTTGGCCGACCTAAGGGAAACGTTCGAAACGCTCCGAAGGGAGCGCCTCTGGCTGAATCCGCTGAAGTGTGTGTTCGGAGCAAAGGCGGGAAAATTCTTAGGATTCATGATCACCAACAGGGGCATAGAAGCAAACCCAAAGCAAATTGAGGCAATACTCAACCTGAAACCGCCACGCACGGTGAAAGAAATCCAGGCGTTCAACGGAAAGATGGCCTCCCTGAGCCGCTTCATCCCGCGGTCGGCGGACAAGTGTTCGCCTTTCTTCCAAATGTTGAAGAAGTCTGCGTCCCGATTACAATGGGGACCTGAATGCGACAAAACCTTCTTTCAGTTGACGGAACAGCTGGTATCACCTCCCGTCCTTAGCGCCCCCCTTCAATCCGAGCCACTGTATCTATACCTGGCGGTTTCGGACCAAGCGGTTAGTTCATCCATGGTAAGGAGGGACGCCGATGGCACAGACCATCCTGTATACTATGTCAGTAAAGCCCTCTTGCCAGCTGAAAGGCGATATATGCCAATTGAGAGAGCGGTCATCTCCGCAGCGAGAAAACTGCGCCCTTACTTCCAGGGGCATCCAATCACTGTCCTGTCCAACCTACCCTTAAAAAAGATACTCAGAAGTTTGGACACCTCGGGAAGGATGACTAAGTGGCGCTTGTTCGTGGATGGAGCCGCCGGAAAAGGCGGAGCAGGTGCTGGAATTGTGCTCGAATCGCCCCGAGGAGTCATACACGAATTCTCCCACAGATTTCAGGAGCTGAAGACCAACAACGTAGCGGAGTACGAAGCCCTCTTGAGCGATCTCAGAATCGCCATGGGAATGGGCGCCACACGCCTCCACATCTGCTCCGACTCCCTGCTGGTAGTCAACCAAGTCCTGGAAAATTACGAAGCGAAGGAAGAGGCGCTTGCAAAGTTAGTCGACGAGGTAAGAGGCGTCCTCTCACAGTTGGAGGAATGGAAGCTAGAGCATGTCAAGCGGGAAGACAACCATCACGCGGACGCCTTGTCCAAGCTGGCCACGGCCATGGACTTCGAAGGTGATCGGCAGGTCACCATTACCAAAGAGGCCCCGTCCAGTGAGGGGGTCATGGCCATCGAAGAGGGAGCGGCCGATTGGCGCTCTCCTATCGTCGAGTATTTACAGAAGGACGTTCTGCCAAGCGATGAAACCCAAGCAAAGCTGATCAAGCGGAAGGCCGCCCATTACAGCATGGTGGGAGGGCAGTTACACAAGAGGTCATTTTCAGGCGTCTATCTGAAATGCTTGGGCCTAGAGGCGGAATGGATTGTCAAGGAGATACATCAGGGCACGTGCGCTTCTCATGCAGGCCCAAGAGGCCTCGAAAAGACAATCCTTTTACAAGGCTACTACTGGCCAACGGTGAAGAAGGATGCTGAAAGGGCGGTCCGTGCGTGCCACGAATGCCAAATTCACGCCAGCAAGCAGCACCTACCCAGCGCGGAACTGAAGAGCATAACAAGCCCGTGGCCGTTTGCACAATGGGGGCTAGACCTGTTGGGTCCTTTCCCAACCGCCCCCTTGGGCAAAAAATATCTGGTGGTGGCGGTCGATTACTTCACGAAATGGATAGAGGCCGAGCCGCTGGACACAATCACTAGTGCCAAGATCCAGAAATTCCTCTTCAACAACATAATGATCAGGTTTGGTACCCCCAATACAATCATCACTGACCATGGAACACAGTTCGATTGCAGGCCGTTCGAAAATTTCTGCGCCAGGAACCGCATCACATGCAGAATGGCCTCAGTCGCCTTCCCGCAAGCCAATGGGCAGGTGGAATCGTCCAACAAACTCATCCTCAGGGGTCTGAAAAGGCGGCTCAAGGAATCCAAAGGAGGCTGGACCGCCGAGTTACCACACGTGCTCTGGGCGCATCGTACAAACTACAAGAGAGCAACCGGAGAAACCCCATTCGCCCTGACGTATGGCTCCGAGGCGGTTGCTCCCATCGAGGTCGTTCTGCTCTCACTAAGGGTCCAGACATACGATCCGGAGGAAAACCACAAGAAGCTTCTCCACCAGCTGGACATGATAGAGACAAGGAGAGACGCGGCCCTGGTGAGAACCATACAGGAAAAGCTCAAGGTTGCCAAAATCTACAACGAGAAGGTGAAGCCTCGCCCACTTGAGGAAGGAGACATGGTGCTCAAGAGGAATTTCGAGCAAAAAGAGGGGCATGGCAAGCTGGCCGCCATATGGGAAGGACCGTTCCTGGTAGCGGAAAAGTTAGGGACCGCCACATACATGCTAGCTACCATGGAGGGGCAGCCAGTAGCCAAGACTTGGAATGCAATTCACCTAAGGAAGTACCACAGCGAGTGAATAAGAGTAGGCCGTAGGAATTTTGTAAGAAGTCGAGCCGCAGTTAAAGGCGCTTTTGTGAGAGTTTGGTAGTCAACACTCCTGTCAATGACTTCAGTAATTCAAGTCGCCACTGAGCGATATGTTTTTATGTTACCAATCTAAGTTATTATCATAACTCTTGACGGCTTAACACAGCTGCTAACTGCACGCATGCGCCCGCTAACCTCGCGGGGCTTAACCGCCTCAAAGAAATAGTTACGCATGCCTCGAACTTAGGCAAAAAATCGCGTCACACATGGCATCCGGGAAACTCCCTGAAGTTCCTAACTTAAACAATAAGGGCCCATGTCTCAAACTCAGACAGGAGCTATGTCACACAATAAGACTCCCCGAAGTTTCACAAAAAAGGTCTCACCTCACAACTGGTAAACCGCCCCAGAACGGTACGAAGCGCTTGCAACGTAAGGATCGAAACGCGCCGCAGGCCCGCACAACGCTAGGACTAACCGCTAAGCCGCCCCAACGACAGAGTTCCAAAGGGCGTCTCTCCTCCTTGAGTGTGCTTCCCCAACACGGGCAAAGGAAGAGGAGGCACAGACAATAAAAACCGCAAGTGAAGAATTCTAAGCATGTGAAGAATAAGAAGAAGGAACATAAGCATCATCCAAAGTAAAATATTACAAAACCTCGCCAGAAGGCGGAATGTATCAAGCGCCCCAAAGGGAGAAAGCAAGGAAAAGCAGTAGAAAAGAACACTTAGTTAAATGGTCAGGAAACTAAGAGGAGCCGCCTTCGGTGGGAGCGGGCTGGTTCACTTCTTCTCCGATAGTGGTCGCAGCGGCCGCGGGCTGGGTTTCTACCTCGGAGTTGACATCATGGTCACCCCAGAATTCCACCGCGTCCCAGACCGCATTCCGATCCCAGACTACGTACGAGTGCTCGCGGCGAAACAGGTGACGGATGGAAGCCACCGTATCCCGCAGCAGCTTCTGATACTTGGCTTCATCCACCGCCTTGAACTCGTCCGAGTCAAAGAAGGACGCGCGAGCGTCCTCTCTAGCCTCGTCGAGTTCAAGTTCCCGCCGCGCCTCCAGATCAACCACCCTGGCCTCCAACTCATTCACCTTGTCTTGCAGCCCTTTCTCCCGCTCGGACACCTCCCGCACCTTCTGCTGAACGCCCTCCAGCTCTCGAGCTGACTTCGCTAGATCCTCCCTGGCGGTCTGAAGCTCAACATCCTTGACTTTCAAGGCCGCCTCATGCTCCTTGAGGATCTCGTCTCGCAACTCCTGGCGGAAACCCTCGCGTCCCTCCTTCAGCTGCTCCTCAAGCTTGAGGATTTTGGTCTCGCGGTCGCCCAGGTCATCGAGCAGGCGCTCGTTAGCCAGAATAAGTTGACTTATCCCGAATTGAGCCTGCATCCACAAAGCCAGTCAGTACCATACACCTATCGAACAGCGGAATCAAGAACAAGTTAAGTCACTCACCGCGAAGAAGCATCGAGCGGTTGTCCCAGCCAGATGACGAGTATCAGAAGTTGTGAGGATGGCACCCTGATAAGCCGTTAATTGCACATGTTTTTACCCCTATTCTAGAGCCATTTGAGATGTGATTTCTCGTGTTTTAGGCCGATTTCACGCTAGGTTGTGCTTTTTTGTGATATTTCAGGTCCTAGTACGTGAATGGAGGCTTGGGAGCGAGTTTGGGGTCGATTGGATGAAGATCGGGCGCGAGGCAAGCCGATGAGGAAGCCACACGGGCACACATAACCATCACACGGTCGTGCAAGTGACAAACCTAGTCGTGTGGGATTATGCAAGCCTTCACACGGGCACAAGTAATTTCCACACGGCCGTGTGGAGGAGCAAGGTGGTCGTGCGAGTTTCGCCGAGAGCAAACACGGGCAGGATGGAAATCCCACACGGCCGTGCGACCCTGGCCGTGTGGGAAGCCTGAATTTTGACTTAATGATACGCCGCGTTTTGACTCACACGGGCAACTGGGTGAGCCACACGGCCGTGTGGCCTGCCCGTGTGAGTCGGGAATTGCTGGTTAAAACCCGATTTTCAGCCAAAGGAAAGGAGAGCTGGGTTTTTGGTTCCCAAACACCCAAGGGACAAACCCTAGAGAGAGAGCGACTTGGGAACATTCTTGGAGCTATTTTGGAGGATTTCTTCTCCATTCGAGCTTGGGAATCAAGCTTGGAGATGGAGATTGAAGATCTAGATCAGATTTCTGCAGTCTCTCTCTTCTCTATGGAGTAACTTCCCTTCACTTAGGTTTTGAGGAACCCTAGTTCCATGAGTTAGGATCTTTCTTGTATAAAGTTTTGGATGCTATATTGTTTGATTATAATCGAATGATGCATGTTTATTGAGTCAATTGAAGTCTGATCAACTTTTCCTGATTTCTGCTGCAATCTGAGATAGATAGAATCTGATTAGGTTGCTAGAGTCTCATCATTCGGTAGTAGGAGATTGGCTATACGAGAGTTAGCCAGTTTACTACTTTGTACTGGAATCTAATTCCAGTAGTGGAGTTCTGTTCTTACTGCTTCAGCTTTCTATCCCGGTGAAGACTAGCCATCTGCCGGGTAGTTAGACTGAGAGGGCTTGGTCAGCTTAAGAGATTCCAAGCTATTGTCGGATCTTCCGCAGTTTAATCAACAGTAAAACCACCAAAAGGAATTACAACTTGGACCTAATTGAGGAGCTAGGGGGAATCATACCTAAGTGAGTTCCCAAACTGTAATTAGTAGTTTTACTTAGTTTAGTTTGTAGAGTAGTTTAGTTAATCAATCCTTAATCTAGTTTGCTAGATAATGAACTGAAGCTGAGTAATAGTAACTCTAGAGACCCGTGGATTCGATATTTATTACTTGTGCCACTATACTGCAGTCCCTTTCATTGGTTACACTTGGCCATTGTTAGGTGTTGTGTTTTAGCGTGTCAAGTTTTTGGCGCCGCTGCCGAGGACTTTCTAGAGTATTAGGAAAGGCAGAAGTTTGTTACTTTAGCGTTTTTCTTTTCTTTTCCACCCTTGCTTTTCACTTGGGTGTTTTTGTTTTTGTTGGTGCAGATCTGAATCATGGATCCTAATGGCTTCTCCAATCATTGGGGGTATCCACCACCATCCGGGTGGTATTACCCCGAGACTCCCTACAGCAATCAAGGAGGAGAAGACTATGGATTCGGGTTCCAGTACCAACCCCCTTACTACGGAGAACAATCAGACCCCTGGGCATATCAAGAACAACCTCATTACCAAGAAGACTTTCTCCCACAACCAGAAGGGCCATCGGAGCTGGAGTTACCCATGGCGGCCTTCACGGGCCACTCTGCAGAGCCATGTTACACTTCACTGGAAGATCCGAAAAAACAATTAAGGCTTCTCGTGGAGCAGTTCGCTCGAGACACTGAGAAAGCATGCTCCAAGATGGATCTTCAAATCCAAGCCCTTGCCTCTTCCGATCCCTCATTTCTCCATGATATGGAGGAGACTGTTCAGCGCTCAACGAAGCAAACAGAGTGGGTGCAGCAAGTTTGCTCACATCTTGCTCAAGATCACCTTTCTGCTACCACGCTAGAAGAGGTGGAGGATGACAAAGGCTACGGGGATGTTGAGGAGCATATAGAAGTTATCACAGAGAACTCCCATGATAATCATGATCAGGAAAGTCCTTTGGTTGCAGACCACACCTTTCCTCATTTATGCTCTAACATGTTGGGCCCGTGCGAGGAGATGCAAGATGATCCCATTGAAGAAACTGATTGGCGACTTGCTCTCCAATCTGTTCTAGAAGAAGAAGAGCGAGCAAGGATGAGGAAGGAAGTTGTGGAGGATGAGGAAGAAAGAAAAGAAGAGGTGGTTCTTGATCTTTTCCCAAGGGTGATACCACATGAAGAAGAAAGGGGGGTTGAAGAAGCAATTGGCGTCCAGGCTGAGGACGGAGTTAAGGTGGAAGAGGCCTGCACCAGCCATGAGTTGCAAGTAATATCCCCACCAAACTTTGAGGAACTGCTTAGCAAGGACCCATTTGCAGTGTCTCTTTGCCAGACCAAGGCCACATAAACATCGGTCCCTCTTGGTGGATGCGATGGCGGCCAATCGATTCTGTCATATCTGGTTTGGGGCAATGAGACGAGAGAAGAGAAGAAGAGGTCTCGAGGGTGGAGACTTCATCTGCATCAAGTACATGAGCCTACATCACCTGTCATGCCACCTGCTTGTGACTTGAGACTCCACATCATCGACGAGAACCTCAACTTCAAGGAGGTTCTAGCATGGACCGAAACTTAGGAGCCATCATCCGGCTCACGACGTGAAAGAAGCGCTTGTTGGGAGGCAACCCAACCAGTCGGTTTGCATTTCTTTCTCTATTTCTCCTCGGTTGAGTCAGTTTTGTTATTTGATTTTAGAGTCAATAACTCAACCTTTGTGAGATTTTGTGTGGTGTTTGTGTTCTGATTACTCTCTCTTTCTGGAATGCACCGCCTGACCCGTTCATCATCATTCACCCTCGATCTGGTAACTTCGTTCTACCCTCCTTATCTTTCCTCCATTGAGGACAATGTCGTGCTTAAGTGTGGGGGGGTGTTCGATTATTTATGCGGGTGAATGTTTGGGCTGTTTGTGTGCTTGGAGCCTAGTCCACTGTCCAAATCTCGAGATTTGAGGGATCCAAATACGGCTGTTTGATCATATTGGCACCGTGTTTTGATTGGTGAATTGAATGGTTTTCGGATTGATGCATGACAGCTTGATTGTGACTAGGACAACCTATGATGAGGACTGAGACGTGCAGTAGAATTGTGTAGGGGTTCAGTTTTTCAACTGTTTGCTTACCAACTGTGACTTGGATTGATTACTTGTTTTTTACAGTCTCTTATGCATCTAGTTCAGGGAATCAGAACGAGAGATAGAGCATATAGGTAGCCATGTGAGATTTGAGCCTGCTCGTTTCTTTCTTGTGCGATAGATCCCTCTTCCATGATGTATAGCATTCACGTTGTCACTGGCTAAGATGATGGGGGCATAGGATTAGCCCACGACCAAATTTGACTGTCCTGATGTGTCATATCCCCTAGTCAGCCCTTTTGAGCCGTGTGTTATCCTTTCTTTTGGTCTATAATGAAAAATCACCCTTTTTGCATCTTGTAGAAGGTTCCACAGAGTGGTTTGTTTTTTACATATTCTCTGCTGTTTCTGCTAAATTTGATGTGAGTGTTGGAGGTAGTGCTTAAAAGTTAGGCTGGGCATGTGTTTGAAATATGTGCAGAAGTGGTGGCTCTCTTAAGAAATGAAAAAGAAATGAAAGAAAAAAAACAGAGAAAAATTGAAAGCAAAGAAGCCACTACCAAAAATCTGAATAATGCCCAATAAGTAGTGTTTTTAGCAGTCTGGCTTGGAAATGCTTACATTTATACCTCCTTTGCTCTTGTGCTCTTGAGATATTGAGTAATGCAGAATAGCAGAAAGGAAATACCGGTTTGTTTGACTGTGATTGTGTGGGTTTGGAAATGTGGAACCTTGTGCTATGAATACTTCCACCACCTAAAAGGCCTTTTCCCCATGTCCAAGACCCTAGCCAGTCATTTGAACATGTGTCTAAGACCTCCTGATTAGTTAGTGGTGACACCCCATATGTGAACTCTAGCATTTAGAGGCTGCCATCATGGTGAAGAGATGTTAGGGATTGAGAGAAATAACATGCGCATTTTTCGCATCAAATTGTCCTGACCCCACTGGTCGAGAGTGAGTGATTCATTTTCATATTCTATATACTTTTGTACCCCGGTGAGGACCTAGATTGCTCGGTCTCTATTCTGATGTCTTGAGTTGGATGCATGAGTTGACTGTTTTGAGTAAGTGGTTGAGTCAAGTCTAGGTTGGTTGGTGAACAGAAGGGAGACTCTTCCTTTACTCGATTTTGCTGCACTCGAATGTCCTTTGTGGTGGTTGTCTAGGTTGCTATTAAGGTTGTTCATGTGTTGATGTTTGAAAAACAGTATGATTCACGTATTTCTGTGCCTATATGATTTGTCCCCAATGTTGGTTGATTGAAATATGTGAGCTTACCTTGTGTCTGACTTGGTTTGCTTGGGGACAAACAAACGGTTAAGTGTGGGGGAGTTTGATAAGCCGTTAATTGCACATGTTTTTACCCCTATTCTGGAGCCGTTTGAGATGTGATTTCTCGTGTTTTAGGCCCATTTCACGCTAGGTTGTGCTTGTTTGTCATATTTCAGGTCCTAGTACCTAAATGGAGGCTTGGGAGCGAGTTTGGGGTCGATTGGATGAAGATCGGGCGCGAGGCAAGCCGATGAGGAAGCCACACGGGCACACATAACCATCACACGGCCGTGCAAGTGACAAACCTAGCCGTGTGAGATTATGCGAGCCTTCACACGGGCACAAGTAATTTCCACACGGCCGTGTGGAGGAGCAAGGTGGCCGTGCGAGTTTCGCCGAGAGCAAACACGGGCAGGATGGAAATCCCACACGGCCGTGCGACCCTGGCCATGTGGGAAGCCTGAATTTCGACTTAATGATACGCCGCGTTTTGACTCACACGGGCAACTGGGTGAGCCACACGGCCGTGTGGCCTGCCCGTGTGAGTCGGGAATTGCTGGTTAAAACCCGATTTTCAGCCAAAGGAAAGGAGAGCTGGGTTTTTGGTTCCCAAACACCCAAGGGACGAACCCTAGAGAGAGAGCGACTTGGGAACATTCTTGGAGCTATTTTGGAGGATTTCTTCGCCATTGGAGCTCGGGAATCAAGCTTGGAGATGGAGATTGAAGATCTAGATCAGATTTCTGCAGTCTCTCTCTTCTCTATGGAGTAACTTCCCTTCACTTAGGTTTTGAGGAACCCTAGTTCCATGAGTTAGGATCTTTCTTGTATGAAGTTTTGGATGCTATATTGTTTGATTATAATCGAATGATGCATGTTTATTGAGTCAATTGAAGTCTGATCAACTTTTCCTGATTTCTGCTGCAATCTGAGTTAGATAGAATCTGATTAGGTTGCTAGAGTCTCATCATTCGGTAGTAGGATATTGGCTATACGAGAGTTAGCCAGTTTACTGCTTTGTACTGGAATCTAATTCCAGTAGTGGAGTTCTGTTCTTACTGCTTCAGCTTTCTATCCCGGTGAAGACTAGTCGTCTGCCGGGTAGTTAGACTGAGAGGGCTTGGTCAGCTTAAGAGATTCCAAGCTATTGTCGGATCTTCCGCAGTTTAATCAACAGTAAAACCACCAAAAGGAATTACAACTTGGACCTAATTGAGG